AAATAGAACAGTCACTTTTAGTCCTATTTCAACAGCATGTCAGCATGCCAGGAGGCTAGTGCTAACCTATTAGGTGGGTAAAATGAGGACCCAGATTGTTGGGGGCAATATGCTGACTCTCTGTAAACCGCTTAGAGAGGCCTGATAGGCCTATGAAGCGGTATATAAGTCTACTGCTATTGCTATTGCTATTGCTATTGCTATTACTTCTATTCTGTTATTCTATTCTAAATATGAACCAGTTGCCAAGCCCAGGAATTTTCATCATGTGAACGCAGGGATGCTGGAAGAGTTGTGAGTGTGAGAAACGGTACTAAGCCACTTTTTTTAGTGTCGTCGTGACTTCGAACAGTCCCTAAGCGAACTGTTGTAAGTCAAGGACTACCTGTAATTCCCTTTTCCTTTGTTTTATGAACTCTGCCTTCATGGGGAATATTAGTGTTTTCACGAACCACGGGAAGATTCGGAGGGCAAAACCCCAGCAGATCCCTTCCTCTCTTCATTGGAGTCCCTCTAGCTCACCCGTTCCCTCGCCGTGGCTTCTGCACTCACCTTCTCGAAATACACCACCACTTCTCTGGGAGTCATATCTACTCGCTTAATCAGAGCCTGCTTTTCCAGCTGCAGAAAACAAAAACAGAGATTTCTTCATTATTAAGGATCAGGGGCACCCATCCACCATCAGCCATTGTCAACTGAAACCTTGGAAGGAGAACCTGGCCATGATTTTGGAAGTGCCCTTGACCAGGAGAGAAGACCTTAGGATCGTCAGCAGATTTGCAATTTCAGAAAGTATGCTGCAGTCATTCTCCCAAAAGGGCTGCCATCCTTGCTATGCTCTGCATTGCTGGTTGTCTGCCTATCATAAGCAACGGGTGTGGGAAGAGATCGGCGGAGTGGGATAAAGGGAGGGCTAGCCTGGGGGGGACACAAAACCATGAATCGTGCCAGCCCTTCCAAGGCCACACTATGGAATCCAGAACCATCCAGCCTGTGAAGACGGGGGCTATTACCCAAATAAATTTGTTAGCACCGAATTGGATACTCGATAATACCCGGGGTGGGAACAAGGAAAAATGATATGCTTTGCGCGCGAAAACTCCAGATCCAGCTTTGCCTCTTCTGTAACCACTTAGCTTTAATAAAATACACTTTTGGCTAACCGCAGATCCAAGGGTCTTTCTTTTCTAACTGACCAGGTTGGGATGGTTAACACCGCCATGGGGGGGCACGGCCCATCATAAAACAATAGAGGGCATATTTCCATTCCCCACTCCTTGCTCTCCCCACACAGAGAGAGATTCTATTTCAACATCTCGGCTATAAATCGTGGATGGTGGTTATTGCGGCCAAGTTCCACCCACAGCTAATTCTTTGGTGTGCCTTAGTCAGGAGAGATCAATGATTATTTGAAGAAGAAACCGAATATAAAAACTGTCCAATTACCTCTTTCACAGACGGCCTATTTGGTGCAAATCCAGAGACCATCTTGATATTAAGAATCACCATGTTGGTGGAGGGGCGCTTGCCGACGTAACTGGACAAACGAGAGGGAAAAGAAAACAATGTCAGCCCCAGTTAAGGTGGCTGTGAGGTTTTGCATTCCTGTTCTCACAATCACCCAGTGGGTTTCTACCAGGAAGATCCAGTTCTAGTCTCTGATTGGCATGTAAATTTGTTCTTTCTGCTCTTTGAATTTGGTGTTGTCCTGCTGACATTTCATGACCATACTAAGCAACATCATCAGTGCAGAGGGGAGGGAAGTATGTTGGTTGTTTCTGTGTGGAAGTCAGTCCTACCAGTCTTTGGGGGGGGGGGAGTGTGGCTTCCTCTTTGATGTCTCCTTTATCAGGGTATTGTTTCCTCTCTTATTGTTTCTCTGGTGCTGTTCCCTGCTTATCTACATGATAGATGTTGGAAGGTATATGTTCTAGGCTGTTTGCTTCCTAGACTTTGAATTGTATCTTTTAAATGGTATGTAAACAGGATTTATCTCTGTGTGTCTGTTGATGGCTAATTTGTCGGGACCAGCACTGGGCCGTGGCATGCCAGCAACTGGGCCGTGAAAACAAGCGAAGTCGCATCTGCGGGATGCAAACAGCAAATAAAATCCCCCCCCCCAATGTAGAAAAGATGTGGAGACTCTAGAAAGAGTGCAGAGAAGAGCAACAAAGATGATAGCAGTGTTCCAATATCTCAGGGGTTGCCACAAAGAAGAGGGAGTCAAACTATTCTCCAAGGCACCTCAGGGTAGAACAAGAAGCAATGGGTGGAAACTAATCAAGGAGAGAAGCAACTTAGAACTGAGGAGAAATTTCTGGACAGTTATAATAATTAATCAGTGGAACAGCTTCCCTCCAGAAGTTGTGAATGCCCCAACACTGGAAGTCTTTAAGAAGATGTTGGATANGCCACTCCCATCCGGTCACATGGGCAGCAAGCCACTCCCACAAAGGAGGCCACAACCACAGAGTAGGTTCGAACAATTTTTGAAACCCACCACTGATTCAAGTCCACACATCTTAAAAGTTCTGGAGGTTGAGGAGAACAAGAGGAATTCTGGGAGTTGAAGTCCACAAGTTGTAAAGTTACCACGTTTAGAGGCCTCTGGCCTAAACCCCAAAAACAGATTTTGGGAATAATATTCTATTCAAGAGAATAAAAATTGAAATTGGCCATGTTTGGAATTTTCCACTCGTAGGAAAAAAGAGGTGGAAGAGTGTAGTAGAATCCAAAAGGAGGTCATACTGTACCTGTGCTGCAGGGGGCGCTGTATGGAGCCACTGCCTCTTCACCTGGAAACACAAAGGAAACTAGGGTTAATACCAATTGTGCTTTCCCCTACATCCCAAAGGGATGTGAGCTGTTCTTTAACCCACTTTCAAGGTTTGGCTTTGGAGTCCTTGTGGGAGGAACCAACAGCCGCGTATTCTGTGCTCACCGTCGTAATAGTCGTACACCTTCACAAAGGCTGGTCTCTGGTTCTGGATCTCAATGTTTCGCTCCACCGTGAAAGAGACATGTTGGGTGGCGTTGGTCAGCTGCAGGAAAGAAGTTCAGATTATCCAAAGTTCAGATAAAATCAACCTGCAGATTTTCAACATATTTGCTCTCTTATCCCTTTCCAACATATATACGAACTTAGAGAAGGTATTTGGGATCCATCAGCGGCTACAGAAGGACCTACGACTACAATTGAGCCCGAGGTTCATGTTGCTACATGATAAAATTCGTTGTGGGTTTTGCCCCATTTTACAAGTTTTCTGGCCCCCTTTGTTAACAGAATCCCTGCTGTTGTTAAATGAGTAACATTTAAGGGAATCTGGCTTCCCCATTTGTGTTGCTTGTCAGAAGGTCGCAAAAAGGGATCACTTGACCCCAGGACACTGCGACGGTCATAAGCAGCAGTGTTCCAATATCTGAGGGGCTGCCACAAAGAAGAGGGAGGCAAACTATTCTCCAAAGCACCCGACGGCAGGAGAAGAGCCGAGGTGGCGCAGTGGTTAGGGTGCAGTACTGCAGGCCCCTTCAGCTGACTGTTATCGGCAGTTCAGCGGTTCTAATCTCACCGGCTCAGGGTTGACTCAGCCTTCCATCCTTCCGAGGTGGGTGAAATGAGGACCCAGACTGTGGGGGCANTGTCTGTTAATTAAATGGCGTAACTTATCTTTGGCTCAGAGTGTGCTTTGGTGTGGAACGAGAGGGGTCAGAACAGGTTTAGATCGTTGCTAAGCAATCGGAGTAGGTTGCTTACAGGTTCTTGGGTAGCCTGCAAAGTGGAAGAAAACTATCCAAGGTGATCTCCTTTCTGGGACCCTTGAGCTTGGTCTACCACCTCCTCCACTTTTGCCCAATCAGGACTCCCAGAGTTTTGGGTTTGGATAGGTAAGGATCATCCATTGGAACAAAACAGATTTTACAAACCAATCAAATCAGGTTGAACAATCTCCTCCAGTCTTGGGACTGTTGGAGATGTTGCATTTTCACCCTTAATATATCCCCAGCGAGCCTGTTTCTATTGGGGAAACTCAAGTTAGAGATGGATTTGAATCACAGCTGATGGATTCCAAACATTTATTTATTTGTTTGTTTCATTCTTTCCACCATCGGAGAAGACAACAGCAAATGCCAGGTGTTTGTTTTTTCCAGACCCAAATGGAGAGAAGATGAAGCCAGTGGTGTTTCTCCAATTCCTTGGGGCTCATAAAGTTGTAGATTAAAAGTAAGGCACCCAGAGGGCACCCGATTCTTCTTGGGTCTTTGGCTGGCTGTCTTCTGCTTCTGCTTTCTCATCAGGGTGGGCAGGAAAGCAGCAGTGGGATTGACTGGGAGGTGGTGGAGGGCGATTTGGTTCTTCACTTATTCCCGACATTTGCTGTGGGAGAGAAACGGCCATCAAACTATCAATAAGCCAAGCATTCAAGCAAAGATGGAGAAATTTCCTGACAGTTAGAACAATTAAATCAGTGGGACAACTTGGCTCCAGACGTTGTGAATGCCCCAACACTGGAAGTCTTTAAGAAGATGTTGGATAGCCATTTGTCTGAAACGGTATAAGATTTGCTGCCTAGGCAGGGGGTTGGACTAGAAGATCTCCAAGGTCCCTTCCAACTCTGCTATGGTATTATTGTATTAAATACATTTGGGTGTTGGGTCTACTTCTCCAAGCCAAACATGCTTTTTCTTTTAGGATGATTTATCATTTAAGGTGAATTTTACATCCTTCTTGCTGGACCAGTTAAACAGAAATCGGATGGGACTAGGTATAATTAAAAAGTGTCCTCTCGAAATAGATCGGACAAAAACTGTCATGCTCAGCTAGCATACAAAAGAAATTGAAGCCCAACACATTTGAACACCAGCTGGTTGTTAATAATTGCAGAAAGGAGCTGAGCTAGCCTTTTCCCCTTCTAATTTTCGGGATGATATATTGCACGAGGAACTGATTTAGGTATAGTTCTTGAATAAATTGGAGGCTAGCTTCACATATTAATGTAAATTATGAACAATAACTTCTAAAACTTATAAAGTGATATAAAACTTACATAACTTATAAGAAAGCGTATAATTTATAAACTTTGAGCTATGTTTAAAGCAATCACATTACATCTTAGGCTGGGTGAAGTCAACCTCACTTTTGCATACTTCTCTGAACAATGGATTTCATTGCATTTCAAAGATGCCAACCGTCTAAAGCAATGTTTTTCTACCTCAGCAACTTTTAAAAAGTGCGGAGTTGTGTTGTCAGGTGAATTCAAGTCAAAGGTGGGTTCCTACCAGTTCACACCTATTCGGTAGAACCGGTTCATCAAATCTACGGAACCGGTTAGAAGAGGTTCCACCAGTGGAGCCAGAAAGCAGGCCGCACCTACAGAAGAG